CTCTTCCTCTGCTGTGAACATTCTTCCCCAAGATGACCATGCAGCTCACGTCACTTCAGCTAGAAGGCTTGCTTGATTTTCCTAGCTGAAATATCATAATTTCCACTTTCAAGGCCTGCCCAGGCCCACAGGCTCTAGTCCTTTGTCTTTCTTTATTTTTCTTCTTAGTATTTATATCGTTCCTGAAGAATGTCCGCTCTGCAGGACTTGGCCTTTTGTTTACCCCTGAATCCTCAGTGCCTGGAGCCAAACCTGATGCAAAGTCACTGCTCATTCCCAGCGAGCGTAGAGGAGGGCAGGGTAGAACCTGTGACCACTATGCCACCAGGGCTCTTCTGGCCTAGGATGGTGTAGGCCATATAGTGGCTACTCAGTAAGTACTCATTGATTGAAAACAAAACTATTCATAATAGCACTTGGGCTTTCTTATGCACATTTTCCATTCATGGTTTGTAGACACACTAAATTACTTACATAAGATATCAAAAGTAAATGTTTAGAAAATAATGGAGTGAGGATTCAAATCCAGATTTTTAGTTATTATCCAAAGTCCTTTGATACTTCAAGTATGAAGTTCACCACAGATATCATGGTCTCCATTTTATAGGTAAGAGGTGGAAGTAGAACTAATGAAGTAACTTGACCCAAGGGTAAATTTTGAAAGGAAGCTGAACTAATCCCAGTCATTTACCAATCACAAACACATTTTTATTTGAAAGTCACCTTAAAGTTATGAATTCCTTTACCAATTCATGTTTTTTCTCTGTGTCTGTTAGTTTTCTTTGTACGTTGATTGTCTATTTGGTAGGAAATTCTAACAAACAAAATAATTCAACAACTATTTATTGATCACATATTATTTATTTGACGTTTGTACAGATATAATGGTGCACAAAACAAAGTGAGGGATGCAAAAAAGAAAATAGGCAAATTTCATTTACTGTTGCAAGTGCTATGTTTACGAGTCAGGACAGTAAGTTTGAAGAGCACTTTGGATAAGCTCTCAAGCCTGGGGAAGAGAGCAAACCTCAGAGTGGATGATGTCTCAATTAAGAGTGGATTTGGGTAGGCCGTAAAGAGGAATGGACATCACAGAGAGCAGGCGAAGAAATCAGAGTACATACAAAAATCTAAAAGCAGAGAAATTTTATGTATTTCAAGACTAAAACAGACAAGCAAACAAAAAACACTGTCATCCAACTCATAGCACCCTATGTAGGGTTTCTGAGGCTGTTAATATTACAGGAGCAAACGAATTAACTTTTCTTCTGAAGATCAATGGGGTTGAACCACTGGCCTGTAGGTAGCAGCTCAATGCTTAACTCACAACACCACTAGAGCTCCTTTCGATAGGCTATAGATACATTGCATTAACTACCAATCTAGAGTTCAAAGTTTGCCCTTGGATCAGGTCACTTCACTAATTGCACTTCCAGTTCTCATCTGTAAAATGGAGACCATGATGTGCAGTCAGAGTTGTATTATAACAACTATAATTTACTCAATGCCAAGCACATTTGATTGATTTAGTCATCACTTTGATCTATGAGATGACTCCTATTATTGCCCCCACTTTACAGATGAGTAAATGAGGTATAATAGCAAACCCACTGCTATGAGTTGATTCTGACTCATAGTGACCCTATATAATGTTTCCAAGGCTGTAAATCTGTTTGGAGCAGACAGCCCCATCTTTCTGCCTCAGAACTTCTGGTGGGTTTAAACAAGTGACCACTTGTTTAGTTCACAGGACCACCAGAGAAGTTAAATAACTTTCTCTACTTTACGTAAGGTAGCTGGTTTACAAATGAGAAAGCCTGTCAGTCAGTATATTGGCTACATTCTCAAGTAGCATCTTTACCTTATTTCATATCTCTTTAATGTTTCTTCTGCATTGTTGATACACAAATGAGACAATCTTCAATTGTGTTATCAATCACATTTTTATATATTATCTTGTATATTGTTCATGGGTGTATAAAATTTGAAATAATCATACAGAATTCTATTAACGAGTGTATCATATATTACGGTAAATAGCTGATGTCTTCACAAGAGGAGATGAGTCAACCAGGGCATAGTATAGCACTGATGAAACACACAATATTCCTCTGGTTCCTTGAGGCTTCCTCACCCCCCACTCTCATGACCCCACTCTTGCCTTTCACTGTGGCTAGACTGGAGTATGTACACAGGTACAGATAAGAGCTCATGCACACAGAATCCAGGTCAGATAAGCCCTCAGGAACAGAAGTGGGAGTAGTGATATAAGGAGGGTAGGGGGAGAGGAGGGGAGGAAGGGGAACCAACTGAAATGATCGACACATACACCCCACCCCACCCCACTCCCAGGGGGACGAACAACAGAAACCGTGGAGACAACGGTCGGTGTCAGATATGAAAATAAAAATAATTTATAGTTTATCAAGGGGTCACAAAAGTGGGAGGGGGCGGGGGCGTAAAAGAGGAGTTGATAACATGAGCTCAAATAGAAAGTAAATGTTTAGAAAATAATGATGGCAGCATATGTACTAAAGTGCTTGATACAATTGATGTAAGGGCTGCAAAAGCCCCCAGTAAAAATGATCTTAAAATAAATTTTCTTATTACCAGGCATAGTTCCAATTCTGATCTATACAATGATAAAGCTCTTTGGGGGTACATGTTTGCACCCATCTCTTTTTCAGGCATAATAGACTTCACTCACGTCAGCGGCCCAGTAGTCACAGTCTCAGAATGTTGCAGGTTCGCAAGGGGAAAAAATCTTGTTGCAGTTGATCCTTTCAGCGATCTCTAATTGCCTTCTCAAGGTGACTGCCTACTTTGCCAACATAGAGGTTTTTTTAGATAGTACTCTAGACGTTTGCAAATTAGGGCAGTTCCTAAGAAGTTTCATAGTGAGGCTCTTCTTATACAAGGGAATGGAGAGAAATGAACTGAAATAGAAACCTGAGTTTGAGTTTTAAAGGCAGAATAGACTTCAGGAACTCCTTCCCTCTCTGTCTCCCCGGCACAAGGCCGTGCACACAGGAGCCACGAATGGCACCTACAGTACTCTTCATCTCCATCGCTGTCTCTGATTAATTGATGGTGATTGACGGAGCTGAGTGTTAAGAAAGCCAAGGTCATTGTGAAGAGTACTATAACCAGCTAGCTATAGCTTTTAAGACGATGAGAGAAGAGTGTCAGCCTAGGAACTATATCTAAGTTTGCCATCCCTCTTAAAAATGTTTGGAGAGGAAAAAAAATGTTTGGATAATAATGGCTATATATATATGTAATTTTAGTTTGCATTATCAAATTGTCTAGTCCAGGGGACCTTTGAGCCAAAGTTATTGTACTGTTTTCTTAATATTTTTAAAAGCATATTGTTTAATATCTCATGTATTGATATAATCAGAATTTAGGAAAGGGTATACAGTGAAACATTTCCTGTGTTACACCTCTGTTTGCCTGTAGCTCATACTCCTGCTTCCTCCCAGCCAATGCTAACAAGAGATTTCTTAAAAATCGAAACTAACTCAGATCTTGGAAGAAATTAAATCAATTATGCCTTGCTTGGAGAGGCTGAATAATCACTTTTCAAGATCAGATTGATCATGTAAACAACATTAAGTTTACATAGATTGCCTCAAATCAAATAATGAAACATTTATTTTCATGAGTTACGTCAAATCTATATTTTTAGTAAACTAGATGAGATTATATTCTCAAGATCTCATAAGTTCTTTTTAAAAAGAAAACATTTCAGTGAGACATAATCCACATATTATATCAAGGAGAGTTGTACAAAAATTACTATAATCAATTTCAGAGCATTTTCTTCTTTCTTGTACTCTGTTATTAGCTCCCCGTTTCCCCTCTAACTTTCCCTGCCATCCTCCCAAGAAACCATTAGTTCAGCTACTGTCTCTAGATTCACCCATCCTGGATTTCATATACCAAAAACGCACAAAAACAATAAAACAAAAAAGCTAACAACAATAACAAAATAAAATAGAGAAAAACCTCAATTGAAAAGAAAGCAGATAATACTAGAACAACTTTAAAATGGGTTAAAGGGATATCAAATGATAACTTGTTACATTTTAATCTAGATATGTCTGCTATAATCCACTTTCTGTTGCACTCTGCATGAAAGCAAGGCTATTCACATCCCTGGTCTATATTCAGAGGGGATTCCCTGGACTTGTAATCCACTTGTATTTCTCTTTCCTTTTTTTTTTTTAAAGTTTATACAACAGGGTTCATACATAGCTTAAGCTTCCGGTGAATCCCCTCTGACCCCATTGGAGGGATTCGTGTAGCCTTGCGATCAAACGGAGAGTATTGTAGAGATAATTATAGTAGATATAGTTACGTTAAAATGTAACATCTTATTTGGTTCCCTTTTTGTCCCATTTAAACATTGTATCAACATCTCATAATTTCTATCATTCTATTATATCCAAGGCAAAGGGAGGAGATGGAGAACAAATCTCTATGAAAGCACTTCATAAGTAAAAGTCCTTTGCAGGTATGATCAAAATTACATATTAACATTATAGTTAAGGTTTTCATAGTTACACCATAAGGAGCCCAGGTGCGTAATGGTTACACCTGGAGCTGCTAACTGTAAGGCTGCGAATGCGTCAAGAGTGACAGTTTGAAACCGCCAGTGACAGCTCTACCCTGTCCTATGACAGGATATGACAGGGTATGTCCTATGACAGCTCTACCCTGTGAGTTGGAATTGACTCATTTAATTTGCATTTAAAATATTTAATAGAGTGGCAATCAACCATGTTTTCTTTTTCATTTCAGGGCGCACTCATTCCATTATGTTAAAACTTTAGAATACTCTATGAATCTTTAATGTCAAATTTCTAAAAGTACTATAATTAAGCAATTCGTTATTGTGAGTTTTAAGTTCTGAAGAATCCATCATGCTGTAATAAACATAGACTTGCCATTCCCTAGAAATGATGCAATTTTTTGTGATTATTATTATTTTGTGACAGCATGCAAGACGACAGCATAGAAGCTTCTACTTCCATATCTCAGCTTCTAAGAGAGAGCTATTTAGCTGAAACCAGGCACCGGGGAAACAATGAGAGGAGCCGAGCAGAACCTTCCTCCAGCCCTTTCCATTTTGGCAATACTGCTGGAGATGCTGAAGGAGGAGGAGGCCAAGACGACCTTCCAGATCTTTCTGCCTTTCTGAGCCAAGAAGAATTAGATGAAAGTGTCAATCTGGCAAGATTGGCCATCAATCATGACCCTTCAGAGAAAGCAGATGAATCTCAAGGTCGGAAACGTCTTTCTTCTGATCAGATGAAACACTTACCTAAATCAAATTTTGACCCTAACTTCTGCCAGGATATCTCTCAAAGTCAAACCACCTCTAAAGAGAGCCCCCAGGAAGCAAAAAGGCCACAGTATAGTTCTGAAACTCAGTCCAAAAAAGTTTTCTTAAACAAGGCTGCTGATTTCATTGAAGAGCTCTCCTCACTTTTCAAAGCTCACAGTTCCAAAAGGATTAGACCCCGAGCCTGCAAAAACCACAAGGGCAAATTGGATTCTCAAAACAAAGCCATGCAGGAAAACAGCTCCAGTTTCTCAGATCTGTCTGAAAGAAGAGAAAGGTCTGTCCCCATCCCCATCCCTGCAGATACCAGGGATAATGAAGTGAATCATGCCCTTGAACAAGAGGCCAAGAGACTGGAAGCTGCCAATGAGGCAACTGGTGGAGACATTACCCCAGGGTCTTCACCTTCATCTTTGTACTATGAAGAACCTCTGGGGCAACCTCCTCGGTTCACTCAAAAGTTACGGAGCAGAGAAGTTCCAGAAGGCACCAGAGTACAGTTGGATTGCATAGTGGTAGGAATTCCACCACCTCAAGTAAGGTAAAAATGTCCCGTTCTTAATGTTTGATCATAACTCTCAATCTACCATGATCCTTCCAAGTGTTATTTTTTGAGTATGTGCTTTCAAAATGGCATGCTCTCTTTAAGGAGATTAGTTGTTATATACTGATAGTCAAGAAATAATGGAAAAAAATTTTTTTTCTAATTGTTGCTAGTTGGCATCAAATCTATTCTAATTCATGAGTACCCTATATGTTACGGGGATCCACAGTGTTATCAAGGCCACTATCTTTTAGAAGTAGATCTCTAAGGCACCACTGGATGGGTTTGTCACCAGCCTTTCAGTTAGTAGTGCAATGCCTCACTATTTGTGCCACCCCAGAACGGAACATTAAAAAATAAAATTTAAAAACCCACTGAAATTCATTTTAGTAACAAATTTTCTTTGATAATATATTAAAATATCATTTCATTTGGTAATGAACATAAAATTATTAATAAGATAGTTTGCATTCTTTTTGCTGTAGTAACTAAGTCTTCAAAATCCAGCATGAATTCTAGTCTTACAATATTTGGGTGCTAAAATTTTCTTGGAAATAATCTGTATTTGGATTTTAAGACATTTGTAGTGGGAAGAGGACATTATGCTGAGGAAAATAAGTCAATCACAAAAAGACAACTATTACATGGTCTCACTATTATAAAAAGTCAAGAATAAGGTGTACACACAGAAAGAAAAGCTATCGGATGGTTGCCAGGGATGGAAAGGACAGGAAGGGGGATCACTTTTTCGCTAGTAGACACTGCTCCATTTGATAATGGGAAAGGCGGTCCCAAAGATGCGTGAAATTAGCACAACTTGACCAAGGTAAATAAAGACACGAAGAAGTACCGAAGAAAAAGGTACAATTTGGGTAAATGCTCTAATTTATACAATTTTACAACAACAGTAAAAGCAGCCATAAAATATATGTGTGATTACGGGAAAATGGGATAAAATATAGTGGAATTCTTCCACAAATTTCTGAAGACCCAGACAGGAAAGTATGTGAAAGTAAACGCGCCTGCCTGGCTAGCTTTATCTCTGTGCGTGTACTCACAGCCTGCACTGAGTCTCTTCTGGCTCCTGGTCACCCCTTGGACTGGGTAGGAGGACCTCTGGGTTTCTGTTTCCATTCTTCCTGCTTTTCTAATCATCTGAACTTTGGCTAAATGTTGCTCACTTGATGTTAAATGGCTGATTATTCTAATGCGGAGGTGAGTTTAGTTGCAAACATGAGTGGCAGGATTATAGTCTTCAGTGGGCAGGGCGTGGGGATCCTTCAAGTCTCTTATCTCACCAATAAGCCTGCTATCTGTTATGATTCGGCGTTCTGTTCCACATTTCTCTCCCACTCTATCCAGGACCTTCTAGTGTGATCCTTTTCAGAGGAGTTAGGAGGGGTAACCAGGCACGCTCTAGTTGGATTATGCAGACTGCTGAGTGCATGTTCTACTAGTCCATGCGACAAAGTGTCTCTGTGTGCCTTCAATTGTCACCATTCTTTCCTCTGGATGGGGAGAGACCAACAGTTGCGCCTTAGTTGACTGCTCAGGAATTTTTAAGACCCTACTCACTAGTCATCAGATTAGGATATAGAACATTGATGAATAAGGTCCATTTAAAGACTCAGTTTACCTCTGTTCCATTTACTATAAATTTTGATGTCAATTTAATGAACACCAGTCTTCCCATCCATGTTGTTAGAGTAGAACTGTGCTCCAAAGGGTTTTCAATAGCAGATTTTTCAGAACTAAGCCTTTCTTCTGAGGTGGATTCAAACCTCCAACCTTTTTATTAGCTGTGAACACGTTAACCATTTGCATCAATGGTGGCTTGTGGGTAGACGATTAAACCCAAAACCAAGGTCATCGCTGTTCAGTCAATTCTAATTCATAGGGACCCTATAGGACAGAGTAGAACTGGCCCAATGGGTTTCCAAGACTGTAAATCTTTACTGAAGTAGAACACCTCATCTATCTCCCACGGAGCAGCAGGAGGTATCCATTATCTCTCTGTTTCTATTGCATTTTTCCATGAACTTTTTGAAGCCTCCTAATATGCTTAACACTGTGAGATGTACAATGACAGAGACTGTGTAAAACATGTCCCCAAGAAGCTTGAAATCCAATGACATAAATGATCTTTATTTCTATAGTAGAAACCATAAGTACTATCAGGCTTCACAGAAGTGGTGAAGGACCAAAATAACTAAAATTTTAAAAAGGTAAGCTCTAAAACTCCAAACTCTGGCTAGCAAGTTGATTCTGCTCAGCGTGACCCTCTAGGACAGAGAAGAACTGCTCCTGCGGGAGCGGAGCGGAGTGAGACTCGAACTTTGAAAACTGAGAAGAGTGTAAGTAAAAGTGTATTCATTAATTCATTCAACAAATACATATTTGGCTATTCAATGACTCTACGAAGTACTAAGAGCACATGCACGAAAATAGGTCTCTGACTTTAAATAAGTCACAGTCTGGTAATCAGATAAGCGTGTAAACGAACATTGAAATGTTATGTTACAGTTGTTAGGTGCCATCCCATTGGGTTCAACTCATAGCAGCCCTCCGTACAACAGAACTGAGCCCTGTCTGGTCCAATGCCATCTTCACAATGGTTACCGTTGGGCCCATGGTTGCAGCCACGGTGCCAATCCATCGAGTTAAGAGTCTTCCTCTATCTTGCTAATAACGTGTCCAAAGTATGCTATTTGAAGTCTCACTATCTTTGCTTTTAAGAAGCATTCTGGTTGTATTCCGTCTACGGCAAATTTGCTTGTTCTCTTGGCAATTCATGGTATATTCACTATTTTCACCAACACCATAATCCGATGCATGTTCCACTGATACTTATCCACCATGTATGACCTGCTGGTTATTTGAAATGCCAGTGGCATAGCTTCCAGCATCACAGCATCAAGCAAGCCACCACAGCACGACAGACGGACAGAGTGGTGGGTTACTGTTCAGGGAGCACTATTAATAAAGGACTACAGCAAAGATGTCACTTTGAGAGCTAAAGTGCAGTTGACCCTAGATGTTCTATTTTCACTGGCTTTATGAGTATTCGAAGCTGGACAATGAATAAGGAAGGCTAAAGAAGACTGGTGGTTTTGAAGTATGGCATTGGCAAAGAATATTGAAAATATTATGGCCTGCCAAAAGAATAAGTACCTGTTTTGGAAGGAGTACAAGCAGAATAATCCTGAGAAGTATGGATGGCGAGATTCTATCTCACATACGTCGGGTATGTCTTTAGGAAGATTCAGCCTCTAGAAAAGGACACCGTGCTTAGTAAAGGCAGCAACAAAGAGGAAGGCCTTTAAGGATATGGATTGACATAGTGGCTACAACAAGAGGTAGAAACATAGCAAAGATTGTGAAGATGGCGCTGGGCTAGGCATTGTTTTGTGCTGTTGTCTGAACCGACATGAAGGCACCTTACAACAATAACAAAGGGTTATAATAAAGGCATGTGTAGTAGGCAATGGTGGCTCAGAGGAAGATGTGAACCACATTACCTGGATGCCAGACAAAACGAAAAGTCGACACAAACTGTGATACTTTAATGTGAAGAGAATAAGAGGTGAAGAGGAAATTAATTACAAAGGCCCAGAGGCAAATGTGTTCAGGGAACCATACCAAAGCAAACTCAGTTATCTAGTCAGTACTGACTCATATCAACCAACCCCCTGTAGGTTTCCAAGACTGTTTACAGGAATGAAAAGCCCAGTCTTTCTCCCACAACTACTGGTGGTATTGAACTGCCAACCATGTGGATCACAGCCCAACTCATAACCACTACACCACCAGGGCTCCTGTTTCAGGGAACCATACGTTATAAGTACTTGCTTATGTCAAGAATATGGGGTACCATCTGAAGAAAGATGAGAGAGAAGATAAAGAGGTAGATGAAAGGGACGAATCCTTGCAGCCCAGGGCCAATTCATCATGTTTACACGGGCATACCTTGTTTTATTATGCTTCCTTTCTACTGAGATTGTTATCACTTGAAGATTTGTGGCAGTCTGCATTGAGCAAGTCTACTAGCGGCATTTTCCCAACAGCATGAGCATGTACTCACTTCGTCTCCTCTGTCACATTTTGATAATTCTACAATATTTCAACCTTCTTCATAGAGTATAAGTACACTGAATAGACTATAGTACAGTGTCAACATAGCTTTTTAAAAATATACATGCTCCCTTCCCCCCATATTGACTTGACTTTCCAGTGAATTTTTCTTATCACTCTGACAGGACTCTGTTGATTGGAAGTGACCTTCACACAATCTTGTATGGCAGCAAGCAAATGGCCTTGTCTCTCTCCCCCTGTCTCAAAAAAAAACGGCCCCCAACTGAGGTGAGGTTTCCTCAGGGGTGATATATGGTGGAGTGATATATGGTTTGTGGATGCTAGGCAGGCAGGCAGGCTCTCCATATGTTACTTACGGGACTGTGCTAGAAGATTCGAGGAGCTGGGAACAGAAGCCTGCCCACATCTTGATGTATATCTTTACAGCAATTGACTCATACAATATTTTCCTTTTTGTGATGAATTAACTTCACTCAGCATAATGGTTTCCAGGTCCCTCCATGTCATGAGATATTTCACAGCTTCATCGATGTTTTTTAGGGATGCATAGAATTTCATTTTGTGTATGTACCAGAAGTTTTTTTAAGATCCATTCTTCTGATGGGCATTTTGGGGTGTTTCCAGCCTTTTGCTATTGTGACCCTGTGCTGCATTGCAATAAACATAACTTTTATATGCACTGGGAAAACAAAACAAGTTTATGAGATCCACTTTATTGTGGTGGCTTGGAACCAAACCTGCACTGTCTCCGGGAGGTGCTTGTGTGCAGACACAGACACAGGTTTCATAACAATGCGTTCAGGCAACAGGGAGGACACAGAGCTAGCTAGAATGGAAAGGGTTGAGGAGCCTTGAAAGCAAAGCCGAACAGTTGAGACTGGTTTCGAAACAAACTGGAAACAATT